TATGACTTAAGAGTCATGTTACCTTTTCCTCAAGTTATAATGAATATGAAATAATATTTTCGGAGTTTCTTGAGTGATATATATTGAAAAATTGATAGCAAATATTTCGATACTCGTAGTGGTACCTTTTTCAATGCGAGTGATGCACAGTGCGAGCTTTGTTAAGCACAACAAAATAACACAATTCCCATGCAATCGGTGGAGCTGGGTCCTCCAGTGCAGATAAAATAACCTATACGATACCGCCTTCCTAAGAACTTATACAATATCACTGTCTATCACGGAATTTTAATTAAATATTTAGACAATTAGCGCTAATTTAATAAAAAGAGCGTCACTTCAGTTACAGGTAAGTCACACTTACACAAGGTGACCCCCCCCCCCTCGCGTGTTCGTTCAGCGTGCCAACCACTATTTTTTTAGCACAATGTCCCATATTGGGCTCAGCTGGACGCCACCGCTGTCGAGATTCATTGACGGGCGCAGCTGTCGGATCTCGATGGCCTCCCTGATTTTACGTTTTTTCCAGTGGCGTTCGATGGCTAGGGTTCTCGCCTCGAACGGGTTCAAGTCACCGCCACAGGTACAAAAGTGTCTGGCCGTCGCTGACGTATCGCAGCGTCCGTGCTTGATATCGGCGGTGTGCTCCTTCAATCTGTCCTGTTTTGGTCGCCCTGACTCTCCGATATAGCTATCCGGAGCCGTTTATCAAGAGGGCTATGAGACGCCGTGACGCCAGCCAGACCGTACAGGGGGAAGCCGCCGCCAGAGACCAAGAAGCCTATGCGGCAGTGCCCTACGTCCCAGGTCTCAGCGAAAGGATAGCCAAGGTTCTCAGGCCACACAGAATCAAGGTAGCTCACAAATCCAAGCGATTGAGGGGTCACCTGGTTAACGTCAAAGATCCCGTGGAGCAGAGCAAGAGGGCCGTATATGAGATAAAGTGCTCGTGCGGCTCCAGCTATATCGGAGAGTCAGGGCGACCAAAACAGGACAGATTGAAGGAGCACACCGCCGATATCAAGCACGGACGCTGCGATACGTCAGCGACGGCCAGACACTTTTGTACCTGTGGAGGTGACTTGAACCCGTTCGAGGCGAGAACCCTAGCCATCGAACGCCACTGGAAAAAACGTAAAATCAGGGAGGCCATCGAGATCCGACAGCTGCGCCCGTCAATGAATCTCGACAGCGGTGGCGTCCAGCTGAGCCCAATATGGGACATTGTGCTAAAAAAATAGTGGTTGGCACGCTGAACGAACACGCGAGGGGGGGGGGGGTCACCTTGTGTAAGTGTGACTTACCTGTAACTGAAGTGACGCTCTTTTTATTAAATTAGCGCTGATTGTCTAAATATTTAATTAAAATTCCGTAATAGACAGTGATATTGTATAAGTTCTTAGGAAGGCGGTATCGTATAGGTTATTTTATCTGCACTGGAGGACCCAGCTCCACCGATTGCATGGGAATTGTGTTATTTTGTTGTGCTTAACAAAGCTCGCACTGTGCATCACTCGCATTGAAAAAGGTACCACTACGAGTATCGAAATATTTGCTATCAATTTTTCAATATATATCACTCAAGCTTCTCTTCTTGGTCAGTGGATTTGCCAGCTCAAATATCCCCGATTTTGGTGATGCCGCGCTACCGTTGATGACGCCACGGTGGTTCCCTCCAAGGCCCTGAAGTTCCCTCCATAGTTGTCTGCAGAGCGGAGGTGAATTCCTGTTTGTGAAGGGTCCACACCAACCCGAACCGCAACCAACAATGCTGACGGCCAACACCTTCGGAAAGAGGAGTGGGGGCCCTGAACTCTCCCCAGATCAGGCCCGGGGTGTGGGTGCTATCCCATCCCAATGCCGCATGTGTGAAGACAGTGATGGCCGCCTAGACATATGGGAAACGTACTTGATGACGGCTATTACCTCGTGGATGACGTGGATGATGGACTTATTCAGTGATTTTGTTTTGCAAGACTTGAATGTTACCACGTGCCCGTCATAATGAGCCACAAATTATTTTGTAACTCTACCATCTGGTGCACGAGACGGAGTGTGCACTAAATTGTTGCTCCTTGACAATACCCGTTGCCCTAGGGTAAAACTGATGCAAACCACATCATCAAGTGGTCTGGTGACGTTTAGCTGTCAGTGATTGCAAACGATATCGTATATCATAAAAATGACTTGCAGGAAAATGGGCCGTAAGGCACGATCCATATTTCTGCTCGCTTTTCATCCATGGAGCATTTTAGTACGATGTGTCAAATAACACGTAGGTACGCAGATGCCTCCCATTTCTATTGTTATTAAAAGCTATCCATTATTTTCAGTACGATCGACTTAATAAGAAATGATTTAAGTACATGAAACTTGTGAAGCTGGTACAACAATAATAAACCAGCCCCGTTAAGTCACTGCGTCTGAAAAAATACCTTCTCAGTAGAAGGCACAGTTTCCTTAAACATTTTTATTAAATTTTTGGTAAAAATGACATTCCAATGTAAAATATCATATAAATGCAGCTTTGTGTGGAGCAGATTTTTACAGTACCTTAGAGTGCACAATCTCTATTTTAATTCCAAACAAGCCTACCCAATGTCTGCTCTCTCACAAACATTTTCCTTCCTTGTGCTTTCCTGGTCCGCTCCCACGTCCAAAACCGGATCTGCAGACTTCACATCTGAGCCAACAAAACTCCCACCACCGGCCCCTTCCGAACCCTATTGTTTCAGTCTGCACCCACAATATCCCAACATTTGCGCACTGGGGGACCCCGGGTCCGGATCTGACTCCGGGCCCGGACCGGGCGCCGGATCCAGTCCGGGTTCACGCCCGGAGCGCACGGCATCTGCGGCGCGCCGTGGCGTGGCCCCGCCGCGCCGCCGGGGAGCACAACCAGAGCATGTGTGTCAAGGCGACGGGCCGGCCCCGACGGCAGTCGACCGGAGGAGCCGGCGCGCCGACCCGACGCGACGCGCGGGCGGCGGTGCGGGCGGGCGGCCGCCGCAGATATACGAGCGCAGAGCGTATCCCAACGGGAACGGGTTTATTCTTATGACCCCCAGACGACAGCGTCGTGCTCAGAACGATCGTTAACTAAATACGATAAAATCGCTCGGAGCTCGCCGGGCAACTGGAACAATGAAGGGTGTTGGGCAACAAAGGGCACTCGTTTAGCGTGTCTTACTGACTGGCCGGGTCACATTCATAAATTTAATCACGATCAAAATTAGCCGCTGGCAGTCTCAGCGACGCCCAACTGTGCAGACATCACGACTTGGCCCATATTCAGCATGGTATCTAAATGCAACGAGCATATGCTGCATTAATCGCAAAATGTGTCTTCCACGTTACATGGGGACGCCCATTCTTCATGTGGAGGTAAGGCATAAGTCATCCCAAGCGCTAACTTGACGATTTGTAAAAAAAGTGCAATCAAAAAAAAAGAAAAGAGAAAAAACGCACAGCCCTCACGCTTACAAATAAATAAATCTAATAAATCAAATTTGAAACAAGAAACTTATATAATTATCCAGCCAATCAAAGCCACTCTTTTCCACCGAAAAAGCCGTCTGATTCTTGCCACCGAAACCTACAATCGCACTCGTCATTGGCTCACATGGCACTTTGCAGGAATATTTGCGAAGCCTTTGCAAAGTCAACCCTAATTGCGTAACGTCTATTAATCCATTCGATTCCTTTGACTTAGCTCTTTATCCCATACAAACCCTTACCCTTCCAATCGGGAGATTTACGTCCAACGTTCTGTCCATTCAGAGATTATCTGTCAATACCACTGATAAGCTCGGAGATTCCCGCAACAGTCTGGCAGGCCTCCTGCCGTGTATGTGTGAATGGCGCCGGGTCGGGCCGGCCCGGTTTACCCGCCGGCGTGTGGTGCCGACCCCACCGTGACCCGGCATCCTGCAGTCACGTCGGTACTGAGCCACTCCGCGCAGCGTGACCGCTGACCTGACCTTGTCCAACGCGCCGGCCGGCCGGGCGGCACAGGGCGTGGGACCGCCCGAGCCGCCTCTCTGGGTCAGGGTCGGGTGCGCGTCACTGGATGACCCAGTCGGAGCAGACGGCATGGCGGCCGTACCGCAGAGGGCTGCTTTCCGCAGTGGGAGACGAAGTGAAACGACGTATCCCTCAAAGGGGGCACAGACCCACACAGAGACGCTTCTTTTTGGGGAAGCTTTAGCCCCACTCAGTACCGCTTCTTTTATGGAAGCCACCATCACGAGGAGCGTCGTGGTGGCGGGACCTCAGTGGAACCATTGCTTCGAAGCGTGTTGATCATGTGCAGTGGAGGGAGACAAGCGCTAGCTAACTGCTCCCCGGCACCGCCATGCTGCCGTGGAGCACAGTCGAGGCTGAAACCTGACCGAGGCAGCCGTGGCGGCAGCCGGCAGCCCAACTCGTGGTCAGTGACCGTGACCGAAGCAGATAACAAGCAAATATGATATGCTAAAGCATTAAGCGGGCAATGCACAAAGGCCATACAATGCATGATTATATGATAGAGGGCCGTACCCGATCGCAGAAAAGCGTTATGCACCTTTCAGAATGAAAAATTACATGCTGCAAAGCACAATTTTATGACGGTTTCTAGTGACGGCTGGTGGAGACACGAACAGAAAACCTTGTCACCGACGAAGACAGTCGAACCTTCTCCTCCCCGTTTCCGCAAATGACGGAAGACGGCTGCCGCTGGCATTGATAAGCAGTCACGGCGGCGACCGTCATGACTGGTGCGTCCTCGACCGGACCGGTAATCAGGTGTCGGCTGGTGGGTCCATGTGGAGCGTGCCGGCTCAGTCGGGACTCTTCATTACACTGGGCGCAGCCCTATCAAGGCCAGTCGACTGAACTGCTGCCTCTGATAACGCGGTGGATGAATTTATGGCAGACAGTACCGGCTGAATGTTATTTAGAGCGCGCTCTTGCGCCTTGGAGGTATGATAGAAGTTCTGTAACAAACTGGCATACTTTCCAGGTCATAATTATAATCAACGAGAACGATGGAAGTAATCTTGTCCATCGTTCTATAATCTACATATATGTTCTAGTAATCTTGGATGGAGTGTGTCAGGTGTTTTGCCTTTATTGCCACAAAAGAGTGTGTGACTGAGTAAGGTAGTGTGTTTGCCTAGAACGACTGATGTGAAGCAACTGATAATTTAACAAATTTCTATCTTCAAGCTGGCACTGGGATCAACCGTAAGTGCGAAAGGCTATAATACGTCATACTCCCAAAAAGCAAGAAAGCGAATAAAGCTTTGGCCGACAGGCATCATCCCAGAATTGATTCATGACGTCGAGCGAAGACAATTCGCCGGCGCAGGTCGGAATGATATGCTGTTGTTCTCTATCACAGTCTCCAAATGGCCGGTTCATGGAGACTGCAACACAAACGTGACACTAACACCACCATCTGTTGTCCAAGATTCGGCGAAAGGAAAATTGGGGAGGGGGAGACAGGAGGGAGAGAGAAAGAGAGAGAGAGAGAGAGAGAGAGAGAGAGAGAGAGAGAGAGAGAGAGAGAGAGAGAGAGAGAGAGAGAGAGAGAGAGAGAGAGAGAGAGAGAGATGAGGAAGAGAGAAAGATAGGAGGGAGTGCGGGAGCAGAAGAAGAGATAAGGGAGAGGGAGCGATGGAAAATGGCGATGATTCGAACGGAGTTAGATGAACCCACAATGACTGTTTTGTTTGTTTTCAGATTCACGATGGGGCTCGGGAGAGAGATGGAGGGCTGCGGCCAATGTGTTAAATACCTTCTGTTCATCGCCAACTTCCTCATACTGGTAAGGAAACACGGCAAAGTCCAAGAGAAGAGTAGTGTGACTGTCGCTAGTTAAATATACCAAATAAATGCAAAGTGAATCGAATTGAAATGTAATATTCTAAACGTCACTTTCTCACTATCTGCCGAACCGAACAATTGTATTAGAAACATTCCAAAGAAATATCAAGCCAGCCTGATAACTATTCGCAAACACCGTCTTTCCCGAGCACTCACACATATTATGCGGGTTGATAGATGCCTTATGTAATCATCTCACACCCTTTTTCTCGTCGCAGCTGGGCGGTTTCACGGTGCTTGTCGTCGGAGTATGGACCGTCGTGGACAAGTCCGAGTTCGAGAAGCTGCTGGGCACCGACCTGTACGTCTCGTCGGCCTACATCCTGATCGCCACCGGCGTCCTGGTCAGCCTGGTCGCCTTCCTCGGCTGCCTCGGGGCCGTCAAAGAGATCCGATGCATGCTCCTCACGGTAAGTTAGAGTTCAGAGGTAAACAAAAAACGGCTTCTGAGCGCTGGGGATGGGCTTTGGACATCTAACTTCGGGTAAAATGAAACTAAGGAAGCACACACATGGAAAGAGCATTTTCTGCCAGTATTCGTAGACAATGGTGTTAAGTGCGACATTCAGGCTCTAGCTATTAGGTTATTTGCTGTGATTTACCATATGCCGAACGTTTTGTGGAAAATGGGTTTCCCACGTGTCAATGAGCTAACAATGAACAATGAACAATGAAGTACCTATGTGCACCAGATAATAACCATTGTTGGAACTCTTTGCTTCATGGACTTCACACAGCTACCTAATTACGAAACAAACTGTCAGCAGAATACCATGAATGTAAAGGGTAAAGATTATCACACATATCCACGCAATCACGCATTGTTAGAGCGTGCTGATGCTTATCTCAAGCCCTTAGATGAGTCATAAAGCGAAGATGACATTGGAGATTTGGACTGTTTCATTCGACTACCAAGGCGCAAGGCCATAAAAACGTCTACTACTTTATTTGGCAAATAGCTTATCGGGGATCTAAATGGATGCGCGGACGGTGCAGGCTGTTTTCTAATGCGCGATTAATGTGATATAAGTGTGTGTAGCGTTATCTTATGTGAGATAAATGAAATGTACGCATAATCGACCCATATTACATCTTATATCATTAAACGTCCTGTGCATCGCTTGAATTTGTGCCAAACAAAGCATACTGACCATGTCGCCATTGCCATCTTTTCTTTCGCAGTACTTTATCATCCTGCTGGTGTTGTTCGTGGTGCTGCTGGTGGGCGGCATCCTGGGCTACGTGTTCAACGAGCGTGTCGAGGACACCATCACCACCACCATGATGGGCGAGCTGGACAGCTACAGCACCCGGCAGTCCATCAAGGACGCCTGGGACGCCGCCCAGCTCAGGGTCAGTACCTACTTGTCACCGTGTTTGGTTGTCAGTAGTCATTGGTCATTAGTCAAGGCGAGTGACCGGTGGTCAGCGCTCGGCCATCCGTCATTATTCAATGGTTGACCGGTCAGCAGACTGAATACCATCAGTGACAGGTGATCATACGGAGACACCTGATTCAGAAGGAAAACAGACCACTGCCAGGGTGGGGGAGGGAGGTCAAGGGAGGAAGAATGCTAACGGTCATGTAGTTACAAATAACTATCAAACTTTCATCGCATCTGTCCGGAAAACAAGCCCATTTACAGCCTGAGACGCCCAATATCCCCGTACAGAGTTCATATATAACGTGCCGATATATTAGATAGTCTAATACGACGCTGGCAACAATTAGGTACCGATAGTTGGAAGTGGAAAAGCCAATTCACTAAAGTCATGATATTGGGCATGAATGAGAGCTTCACATCAGAAGCAGCCTTGATGTGCTTTAGCTTTACATAACTAGATGTGCTTCGGTAGAGCACCATCACCAGTCTACAGAGAGTTAAGAAGTGAATAATTCCAGTCATTCTCGGGCCGACAGCTATGGCCAGCCTTGGCAGACATTAGGAAACCGTCCCGATAAGATGTTAATCTGGCCCTGTGCAGCTGCCATTGTGCTGTCGGCCGTCGGCTCAGCGTGTTCAGGGTATATTTACGGTGGCCGTTAGCTCACACTCAGGGAGGGTGTGCCTGACGTGGCTCCTGCCGAGTACTGCATCAGTGTGTCGCCGAGTTCGCCCCGCCCGGCCTTGACCCGTCCCCGCCCCGTCGACAGATGGAGTGCTGCGGCGTGGACCGGCCCTCCGACTGGAGGGGTCGTGTTATCCCCATGCCTTCCTCGTGCTGTCCTCCCGGCACCGCACTACCCTGTACGGAAGAGTACGCCTACCGGGTGGGCTGCAAGACGCGCATCAAGCAGTTCGTCAAGGACCACGCCGTGGTGCTCGGCGGCGTCGGAGTCGGCATCGCTTGCATCATGCTGCTCGGCATGATCTTCGCCATATCGCTCTTCAAGATGATCGAGTGAAGTGATAGCAGGCCGTCTCTGTGAGGACGAGGGGACATATCGGCGCGCGGCGCCCGTAGAGACCGAGCGTGTCGAGCCCAGTGACGGAACGGATGTGCGTCCCGTGCACCGCGTGACGTGACTGTGCTGATACTGTGACGGGGTGCATCACGACATCATGTTGATATCGTATCAGGACCCGACGTACGTGACAAACGATAGAGGCTACCGCGTGAGCTCTGCTTGGAAACTGATGGTGTCGTGTCTGAAGAGACGAGCAGCGAACGCGGATATATGTCGTAGAACGACAGTACGGTAGCCTATCGTTTTAACGTATCGAATGTGCACCTTGTTGGTTTTGTGAATCGAAGTATTTAATGTCTGTGGGAGTCGAAGGAAGGTTAGGCAGGAAGGAGAGACCGGGAAAAGTCACGTGCCACAAGCCGCGCCGCATCAGCAATGGAACACCCCGCTATCGAAAGGTGTTTCCTTCGGTTGCACCAATATTAAAATTGTTCATATTTGAATACCATTTTGGACGAAAACGTACGTATCGGAAACGAATGGGAGCTCACAGTTATTTACGCTCAAGCACGTTTAAGCTTTACATGTTGAGCAAATATCGAACACCTTAGGACGGCAGTGCTAAAGCTACCGTCCACTGTCGAGGACAAGCCGGTAAGGCAGATTATCCATTGAGTCCAGCGATGCCTGGTCTCTCCAGGTATTCGTATGGACTACAACAGGGTGGAATGGAGAGGGATTGTGTGTTCAATGGTCCACTGCGTACTGTCAATACCGTACCCGTGTGCACATACGATGTACCTGCGCACAATACACAATGCATAATGAAATGTGTACCTATCAGTAATGGAAAATACTTGTGAGGACAACTTTCCCCAGAACAAATTACTGGTCTCCTTTGACGTCTAAACTAGAAATCATTAATATTGTTATGCAGTCGGATTAATTAAGTTAGATTACTGATGGTTTACCACAAAAGTACTCACGGATTCAAAGTTCCTATACAAAGAAATGCCAATCAACACATTGCCTGAATGGATTTATTTTTACCAACCTTGAGCATGTCTTTCATATTTGTATATCGTGCGCCATTACTGTCTGCGTGTGTTTGTGGAGTTGGGTTTATGACGTCATTTGCGACTCCGGTTTGCGATTGGACGTGAGGTCGGCCCACTACGATCCGAGGTCATGTTAGGTCAGATTTGCGGGCCCGCGCCAGTCGTGTCCTCAGCTCCGCAGTGAGTGGTGACCCGTGGAGTGCTGTCAGCTGTGCGTGGACGGAGAACCGCGGCTTGGGCAAGTGGACGATTCTGTACAGGTGAGGTTGTTGCTGCCTACTGATGGTAACAGTGGGAGCGCTGGGTACGGTTGTTCGTCCTGCTCCTGCCTACTGATGGGAACAGTAGGCGGTAGGATAACGGGGCAGTAAATATAGTCCACTGTGTAAGTATTCCTGTATTTGGGGTCCGTGGAGGAGGGGAACGGTAGCAGTGAACCCTGGGCTCGGTAACACTGATCCCACTTCTGACACCAGTGTTACCGAGCCCAGGGTTCACTGCTACCGTTCCCCTCCTCCACGGACCCCAAATACAGGAATACTTACACAGTGGACTATATTTACTGCCCCGTTATCCTACCGCCTACTGTTCCCATCAGTAGGCAGGAGCAGGACGAACAACCGTACCCAGCGCTCCCACTGTTACCATCAGTAGGCAGCAACAACCTCACCTGTACAGAATCGTCCACTTGCCCAAGCCGCGGTTCTCCGTCCACGCACAGCTGACAGCACTCCACGGGTCACCACTCACTGCGGAGCTGAGGACACGACTGGCGCGGGCCCGCAAATCTGACCTAACATGACCTCGGATCGTAGTGGGCCGACCTCACGTCCAATCGCAAACCGGAGTCGCAAATGACGTCATAAACCCAACTCCACAAACACACGCAGACAGTAATGGCGCACGATATACAAATATGAAAGACATGCTCAAGGTTGGTAAAAATAAATCCATTCAGGCAATGTGTTGATTGGCATTTCTTTGTATAGGAACTTTGAATCCGTGAGTACTTTTGTGGTAAACCATCAGTAATCTAACTTAATTAATCCGACTGCATAACAATATGTTTTGATGTGATTTATTGATAACCACAGCTGCAGTAGAAATGATGCTTTGAAAAACGAAAACGCTCATGACATACAAGGTTTTCCTATATATTTTCAACAACGTTTTGCTTCCGACATCATAATACCGTGCAAAAACGAGCAGCGTATAAAACCGTGACGTTCTGCCAATGACATTTAACGATGCACCACATGCTCACAGAGCTTACACGCAAAGACAAACACTGTTATTACGAGCTGGAACTCGTTTCAGAGTCCGAACCTGCGCGTTTCGCGGCACGAGACGTGGCTTCCGCCTCACTGTCGCTGCTCTCCGAGCTGGAGGGTGAGCTGCGCCTCTGCTTCACCCTCCTCTTTTCCGTATCACTGTCACTGCCCGAGGAGCTAGAGCTCCTATTTTTACTAGCTCCACCACGCATCACATCACGACTGTCTCTGGCATCGCTTTGAGATGCACCCGACCTGCGTACGGCGTCCCTTCCACCCTGCCGACTTCCCGATCTAGACCGGCGGCTTCTCGAGTCCCCGCGACGGTCCCCGGATCTAGCAGGCACCTTAGCACTCGCATGTCTATCACGGGACCTAGAACGATCCCTCCTAGAGTCTCTATATTCTCGATCAGCTGATCTGGAACGTCGCTTTTTGGGCTTCTCTTCTCGGTCACTGGAAACTGACCGATTTCTTCTAGAGGCCTTACTCCGGTCGGTGGATCGAGAGCGCCTGTTTCTAGATGTCTCTCGGTCATCTGACCTGGAACGTCTTCTCTTGTTCTCTCGATCACCTGACTTGGAGGACCCTCTTTTGGGATCCTTTCCTCGGTCACGTGACCTAGAACGCCTTCTACCAGTGTCCCTCCCTCGGTTACCTGACCTAGAGCGCCTTCTAATCGGGTCTTTTCCACGGTCATTCGAACTTGAACGTCTTCTTTTATCTTTACCTCGGTCACTTGAGACGGAACGACGTCTGGAATCTTTGGGCCGACTTCTGGATCCGGATCGTCTTCTCCTCGATTCTCTCTCGTCGGACCGAGATCGTCGTCTCTTCGATTCCCCTCGATCAGCTGATCTAGACCGCTTCCTTCTAGAATCCCCTCGTCGGTCCCCGGATCTCGACCTCCGCCTGGAATCTTTGGCTACATCTGGTGATCTGGAGCGTCTCCTCCCCGATCCTCTGTCGCGATCGCCGGATCCGGATCTTCGGCGACGCTCAGGAGACCGTCTCCGGGACCTGTCGTCGACCTCCCTCCCTCTGTCGGCCCGCCTGCTAGTGCTGCCACCTGTCGGCGAGTCGCGGCGGCGATCGTGCCCGCCTCTGTGGTCGCGATGTGATGGTGTCGGTTCAGGTTTGGGTCGCTCAGAGTGGCCGGCGTCACGTCTGCGAGGTTCGTCGTCCGACTCAGACCGATCTCGCTTATGTTTCTTCTTTCGTCGCTTCTTTTCATCACTTTCCGACTCGGAATCGGAACGGTCAGAGTCCTTCCTCTTATCTTTCTTCTTCTTTTTCTTTTTCTTCTTCTCCTTCTTTTTCTTCTTCTTGGCGTGTTTGAGCTTCTTCAGCTCCTCGGCGTTGAGTGATTTGAGCGGCGTCTCGTCATCCGTATCGTCCGAGCTTGTTGAACTGACGTCCAAGACGCTGTCCTGAGCACACAGGGGCAACCCACGTTCAATTGCCGCTGCGTTTATGAAAGCACACATGCCACTGCTTGGAGCTGAGAGCTATATATTTACGTTGAGTAGCAAGCAATCTATATGGTCAAGTGACTTATCTCTTTTATGACCCTTTGGGCCTGCCGACTGAAGTGATCATTTTGCGCCCGTATATTATGCATAAAAAAAACATATAGGAATAACCTGTTACGTGTAAGAATGCCAATAAAACCCAGCCATAAGCTTCGCTAAAATATCAAGCCCGCCAATCGTGCAAAAGTGATGCAGTTGTAACGGAATGTGACAGGTGTAGCATGCGATGCCCGAGTCACCTATTAATACTGAACACATTATTTCAAGAGAATGGTTAAAAAGCGAACATTTTATGTTTAAGTCTGCCACCAGTAAGCAGCTGCATGAGGTTTTGATGCATCATTCGTCCATAGCCCTCAGTCGCGCAAGCATGCTGTCAATTTTCCCTAGCTCCAACATAGGAATGGAAAGGACCGGACAGCAAAACGTTCAGATCCAAATAGGTACAGCACTGCTTCAAACGTCCAACAGCGGCGGCAGGAATCATAAAACGACACCCTGGACCATGGATGGCTTAGACGCATCATGCAGAGCAGACGACCGCCCAGCCACGCACCCGAACCCATAAGCAATCAACCATTTCTTACGGCACACCTGAGGTGGCATGCAACCAGCCCAACACCAGTCTGAGGCAGCATCCCACCGGCTGGACTTACCTTGGCTGTGGTGACCTGGATGAAGTTTCGGCACTGAAAGGTCAGGTGGCCCGGGTAGCCACACTTCTTACAGGCCGGCCGGAAGTTTTCGGCGGAGCCATTAACTCCGACCACACCCGCTGGGCGCTCCATGAAGCCTGGGTGAAACAAACGGAGTGATCGGTTAAGAGAAAAACTGTAGGCATTTAAGGTAATTAATTAAGAAATTTCCTAGGTCTCAGTAGATACTAGATAGCATATTGGTGCCAATCTAATAATAAATAATCTCTATGAAAGGGGAAAAAAGGAAACGGGCTGGTTACAAGTGAGTCAACAAAGTGAAGACTTCAATAAAATAGCAGAAATTTATTAGCTCCTATAGGCCTGGTCATGTGGTTGACCCCCCCCCCCCCCCCAATACACATACGCCACATGCACAACAACTACAATAACTCGTAATTGGTAATTACTGGACCGGTTGAGCTGAAACTTTGAATGCATGTAGGCGCCCAGCTGGCAATGTATTTCCATGTAAAACAGATAGGGTGCTACTGCATGTGTCTCGAGAACAGCTGGGCTGATTGTGCTCAGCTTTGGTATATGGTTAGGGACCAGCAAGTAGGAGGCCATGCAAAAGTCAGTTGGAGCCCCATCTGCACAACCTTAGGTGCAGGGCATTGCGTATATCAATATGCACATAGCACACAACCATATGTGCAGGGTGTCGGGTGATGCCTCTGCATCTCAAGAAGCCTGAAGGGCTAATTGCCCTCATATTTGGCACACCACTATTTACTAGCTATGATAGCTGTAGGATGGGGTATGGTGCTGTAGCTGTGCACAAGTCAGGTTGTGGTACCCTCCCACACTCCTGCACATGCAGGGCTCACTCTTGCTCGCTTGTTTGTCACCCCCAAAAGGCATCTTACTGGTCTTAAAAGCAGCAAAGAAACAAGCACCACAAAAACAAGCCACAAAGCAAATCTGCTAAAGTTATCCACAAAAAATATTAATCAGCTAGCAGGTCATTGTCCTCACTCATCACAATTACAAATTCTAGAGGTCATTTGAGTGTCGAAAATGATTAATTTGTTAACTATTCAACAACCAGGCAGATTCACCCGCACCGTGCTGGGACTTGGGAGGGCTTTTTTTCAGCTATTTTTAGTTTATCCCATCTAAAAGCTTAACCATTGACCCAAGGTCAAGTTTGAGAACAATAGGTACTCAGAAAGACCTGTGAAAGAGCTATCAAACATGCTTTGTCAAGGTGCTCACCATGGTAGATGCTCACCATAGTAGATAGGAAAGAGGCATAGGGAGCGGATGCTCATAGGATGCTGCCTCTTCTCAATGTCATATGACGGTCATATATGTTCTTGAATGCGTTGATGCTTGGACTCGGTACCACATGTTCAGGCAGTTGGTTCCACTGGTCCACAACTCTTGAGGAGAAAAATTGATTGCGTCTGTGCAGCCGATGCCTTGGCTTTTGCAGTCTGAGAGCATGTCCGCATGTCCTTTCCCTGTTTGTACTGGTCTCTAGTTTCAAAAACTCTTCTCCAGCATTCACCTTGTCATGTCCATGGACCAGCTTGTAGACTTCAATCATATCCCTCTAACCCTTCGATCTGCCAGTGATGTCAGTTTCAGTTGGTCTAAACAATCTTGGTAAGGGAGGTTGGCAAGTTCAGGTACAAGTTTTGTCGCTCTCCTTTGGATCCTCTCCAACCTGTTGACATCCTTTTGGAGAAACGGGGACCAAGCTTGGATGGCATATTCCATGTGAGGGCGTATCAGTGTTCTGTAAATTGGCAGGAACATTTCCTTGTCCATGAAGGTGAATGTCCTCTTCACTCTTCCCAGCATGGAGTTCGCTGCAGCTGCCGCTCTCGTCACCTGCTCTGATACTTTGAGGTCTGGCGTTATTGTGATTCCCAGGTCCTTTTCTTTTATGGTTGAGGTAAGAGTGGTGTCCCCCATTGAGTAGGTCACAGTGGATTTTTTGTCCCGAAATGCATCACCTTGCATTTCATCAAGGTGCTGTAAATCTACCTATTGGTTACAGAGTTAATCGTCGGGTGTTTCGAAAATTGTTAAAACAGACAAAATGGTATCGATGCCGTGCCGATGAAAGCAGCGAAAAATGTAAAAATCAAGATAAGAAAAAGGGTATTCTTATTGCAGACGTCTGACATGCTGCCACCGGTTTAAAAAGCCGGTATACGTGTCAACAAGTATCATAAAAAACACCATGGGAAATCATACATTACCTGTTTATTGTCAAAAAGGTTGCTGAACTGAGCTCATGAGCTGACGATAAATACGTTCTCACAACAGCGCTTTTTGGCTGTGAATGCCTACTTCTTGGGGATCAGATGAGATAGCGGAGATAGCGATGGACGATTGCTTTGGGTGGATGAATCACGTCTGTTCATTTTTCCGACATCGGAACGTTTTTATTCTGGTTGCCTAGCAATGATCTCGGAAACCTAAAATTTGTCAATTGTAAAGCGAGTTGCTAGGCAACATTTGTACATTTTGAACTAAAGAACACAGATTGCACTTCACAAATGTCTATACAGCGCCATCCACGCCTCTTCTTTGCGAAAGATGCTGCATGAAAATTAAATTATTTTATCAAATACATGCGTTTTAATTTTGATGGCGATGCATCAAGGCAACCTACCGCAAAGCAATACACTTTTTTATTTGAGACTCAAACACCTTTCACCAGAAAATATAAACAAAAATATATCAACACTTCTGATGTTTACTGTCACTGCCCACAGACGGCGATAGTTCGAAACGTTCTTATTTCAATCCGGACCCTCAATTCCTCCTTGCGACAATTTTCAACCTCACCATTAGGGTGGTCCGGTTTGCATCACTTTTTTGAAAAGTCACGGTCTCACCCCCCTATCTGGTGCATTTTGGGGCGCTGATTACGATAAGCACATAAAAAATGCAAATTTCGAATTTTTTTTTGTAGGCCCCGGTCGATCAAAGATTTTGAAAATTTTGCGAATTCGCACATTTTTTACCATATATCAGAAAAATGAATAAAGTTATTAAAATGATATTTAACAGATGCAGCAAACATATTCCTAGGCGTATGTGCGCAAATTAGTGAGCTAGGGCCAGCCAAATTATTTTTGGACTGAAATTACTGAGGCCATTTCCGTGTTTCCGCTCCCGGCCGCTAGGTGGCGACCGCCAGGGCGGTCGCTACCGGTAGAGGACGGGCCATCCAGGGGGGCGACACGGCTATTCGCGCAATGTATTCAGTTATGGGCCGCGCGGGGCCTCGGGATGACGCGGCTGGAGGCAACTGCTCAGCGCGCTAGGATACTTCTGGCGGGGCCGGGCGCTGAACGGTGTGCAATGAATGGGTTATGGGCGGGCAGACAGAGATGAGGTATTGAATTTTAATTGACATCAGCAATCGGGTGGGGAAGGAGAACGTTTCTAATCGAGCTTGGGCCGGGAAAGCCGAAAATGTCACGATCGGCTCAAAGCTGCGTCAGGGCCGAGTGCCGTACCATGTGTAGTATATTTAGGCGGGCAGACAAAGATGAGTTATTAGATTTGAATTCACCTTACCATCGGTTTCTGGTGGGGTTTGAAGACGTTTTTAGTTAAGCTCGGGGTGTGGCAACCCACTGGCGGATCCAGGGGAAGGCATTTGGGGCAAATGTCTTCCCCCACAACCGGGGCAGCGCCTGAAATCGCTTTTCGAGAATTAAAGAAAACTTCACAGCTTTTCTTAGGAAATGTTGGTTATTCACAGTACGCAAGCAGTACGGAAGGAATCGAAATCCGAATTTTTAAATTAATTCGGAGAAACCTTTTTGGGGTAAGCCTCCGCAGTGTCCAAGACCGCTTCCTGGATCCGCCAGTTATGAATAAGTCACGGTCGATACCGAGCTTCGGCGGGACCAGGCGCTGCATTACGTTGTACCTAAAAGGAAGAGGTGGACAGACACCTAACCCCACATCCTACTGCTATACCCGTGCTTCTGTGGGTGAAGCACTGAAGCATCACGGAATCCCGCAGGACCTGCGAGTCGACGAGGTGGCCGCTTTGGCCGCCGGGTACTGCAGCTCCCTGGAGTTGCCTGGGACCGATGGTAAAACAACAGCTCCGGCGGTGCCCCTATGGGCCGTAGTAATTAGTGAATTCCCGTAATGCAGAGATCATATCCTCAATAATCGCCATTAAGATTTTATATTCCTAAGCAATATGACAGACCAATTATGCTTACCTACGTTCAGGCATTACCTCTGATGGTTATACGCCCATGTGTACCTACAACATGTGTTCGGACGGGGTGATCTTTCTACAATGTGCGCACCATCCATGGGCCTAGGATGCATCGAGGTTTAAAAGAATGCAGTCTGTAGATCAATCAACATAACAATGGTGGTATGCAACCGCATTAAAGGGACCCTCCCACCTTAACATTAGTTTTGAGTTGAGATAGCCAAGTTTGCGGCCAGGCTCAGAAACCACCATTTATCTTGGTCGCAACCCCCGCAGCTTTATGGTGTTCAAGAAATTCCTTCCCTTTACTTGCAGGGTGGGACCAGCGTGGTCCCTATCTCTTAACCATTACGGGAATCTGATGACGTCATCAGGCTTTCGAACGTCCGTTAAATGTTTGACTAAAACGTTTTGTACCACGCGGTGGTATATGCTGCTTTGCGCGCAACAAATGCCGCACTTTCAAATAAAGTCGCTAGGAACAGCGGAGATCCCAAAAAGTAAACAAAAGTAAAAGTCTAATATCTTGAAAACCGGTGAATATTTTTCGATGAAATTTGGTAGATATTCGTTTTTGCTCTTTCTGAACCGAGCGACATCACTTTCATGCCAATTCATTAACTTTTTTGAAGGTGGGAGGGTCCCTTTAAAATATCTCCCCCGCTCCCGCCGCGTTCCAACGCCCCTCCGTTATGCATTCGCCCTATGTGTCCGCCGAGCCGGCTTGCCTCCAATGACGTCATCGGCCGGCCGGCGGCGTTCAAGGTCAAACGGCTGGTGTCCTTACCTGGAGTTCTATAGCCTTGGGGCCATCGCTCTCATGTGTTTTGACGCAATGCGACGACATTTTGAGTGACGATACTGATATTTACAAACTAATGACACAAGCGGTGTATTATTCTGCCTATTTCAATAGAATTGGGTATGAAATCACCCCCTCAGTCTCCTCTTCAGGAAATCTCTGGACTCTGGATGTTTACCCGCAGAGTGGAAGACAGGGGAGATAACGCCCATCTTCAAAAAAGGAGATCGTCAGGAGCCAACAAGCTACAGACCCGTCAGTCTCACTGCAGTACCGTGCAAAGTGCTTGAGTCACTGGTAAGGGACAGCCTACTTGCACACCTAACCTCAACTGGCCAGCTACATCAGGCTCAGCATGGGTTTCTCCCCAAAAGGTCTTGCACCTCACAGCTCCTGGGGGTGATTGAGGACTGGACTGCTGCCATGGAAGAGGGAGTCCCTGTTGATGTGGCGTACTTAGACTTCGCCAAGGCATTCGATTCGGTACCACACAAGCGACTCCTAGGCAAGTTGAGGTCTTATGGCGTGTCGGGTCGACTCCTGAACTGGATCCAGGCCTTCCTGTTTGAGCGCCTTCAAAGGGTGGTTGTTCGGGGATGCAAGTCAGCCTGGGCTCCAGTAACAAGCGGCATTCCGCAAGGCACCGTCCTCGGTCCTGCACTTTTCACAGTGTATGTGAACGACATGCCAGCACAGGTCACAAACACAGTGAAGATGTTCGCAGACGATACCAAGCTGTACTGCAAGATGACTGCCAACCACGATGGCCTGCAGGACGACATCGACGCTCTGGTCCGCTGGTCGGAGACATGGCTGCTCCCCTTCAATGGTGCGAAGTGCAAGACCATGCACCTAGGGTTCCACAACCCAGACCGCACGTACCACTTGAATGGAACTGCTGTTGCCACCTGCGAGGAGGAACGAGATCTAGGTATTATCATCGACAGGCAACTAAGATTCCACAAGCAGACAGCCGCTGCCGTCGCCAAGGCTTCACAGATACTCGCAGTGATCCGTCGGTCGTTTGCGAACCTGGATGAGTTCACTTTGCCTCTTCTTTTCAAGGCCTTAGTCCGACCCTTCCTCGAGTTTGGGAACGCCATCTGGGGTCCATTCTCCAAAGAAGACCAGAAGAGACTGGAGAGGGTGCAGCGACGCGCGACCCGCCTGATCACGGACCTCAGAGACCTGCCGTACCCTGACAGGCTTCGCCGCCTCGGTCTCCCATCGCTGCACTACCGCCGTCGTCGTGGAGATATGGTGACCGTGTACCAGCTCTTCCACGGACTTCTGGATGTGCCGCTTGAGTCACTGCTGACGAGACACGAAGCGCAAAACACGCGAGGCCACCAGTGGAAGCTGAGGAAACCAAACGCCAAGCATCTTTCTCGCAGGAACGCGTTCAGCGTCAGAATCATCAACGATTGGAACGCCCTGCCAACAGACGTTGTCGCTGCTGAGTCGCTGTCGTCTTTCAAGGCGCGGCTGGACCGGCACTGGTCGAGCGTGATGTTCGACATCCCTACCCTGTACTAAGGACCATAGCCTCTCCGATTATGCCTTTCACTCGATACGAGCGGGACCCATAGGCCGAGTGGCCTTATAACCCGATGACCAACTAAGGTAAGGTAAGGTAAGGTAAGGAAATACCCACAAAGGAGTACGCACCACACCCACACAGCCTGGGGTCGGAGAGGCCATCATAACCAAGCGTTTTCATTGTAGTTAATTCAATCTGATTAGTGTCATGCCATCTTACAAAACACTTACTCTTCACATTTACACCAAGTTTCCTGCAAAATCTTACCTTGAAACACTAGAAAATCGATGCAAAAACGCCTCCCTCAGACCACACGAATCCGCGCCATTACCATCACGGTTGTCAGGTGGTAAGCCTCCGCCATGTGGACAAATGCTGCGCAGCAAATACAAAATGTAGCGATGGGTGGGGACCACGAAATAAAAAAAATGTTCAGATTAAATATTTCGACATTTGATGTAGTTTTCGAGGTTCATGACGCATTGCTTTTAAATGAGTTGTATATTATATGAAAGGGCATCATATTACCTTAAACCTAACCTAACCTGATTTTCGCCTACCGAGCATAATGAAACCTAACATAACCTAACCTAACCTAACCTACTGATTTTTGCCTACCGGGCATAAAGAAACCTAACCTAACCTAACCTAACCTACTGATTTTCGCCTACCGGACATAATGAAACCTAACATAACCTAACCTAACCTAACCTACTGATTTTCGCCTACCGGACATAATGAAACCTAACCTATCCTAACCTAACCTAACCTACTGATTTTCGCCTACCGGGCATAATGAAACCTAACCTAACCTAACCTAACCTAACCTAACCTACTGATTTTTGCCTACCGGGCATAAATAAACCTAACCTAACCTAACCTAACCTACTCTGATATTTGCCTACCGGGCATAAATAAATCTAACC